CCCAACCCAACCCAACCCAACCTAACCTAACCTAACCTAACCTAACCTAACCTTAACCTAACCCTAACCTAACCTAACCTAACCTAACCTAACCTAACCTGACCTAACCAACCAACCTAACCTAAACCTACCTAACCTAACCTAACCTAACCTAACCTAACCCAAACTAAACATAACCATAACATAACATAAACATAACCATAAACAACCATAACATTAACCTAACCAAACCTAACCTAACCTAACCTAACCTAACCAACCTAACCTAACCTAACCTAACCTAACCTAACCTAACCTAACCTAACCTAACCAACCCAACCTAACCAAACTTAACCAAACCAAACCTAACCTAGAATCAAGGTGAATCCCAACCAGCCTTCATCCCCGTGGATGCCTTTTCAATGGCTGAAAGATTAGAAAAGGCATTAAAATCAATAGACTCGACATGACCTCGCATTTAGATTAGAAATAAACGTGAAGTGAAATTACCCGATATATATATATATATATATATATATATATATATATATATAAATTTATATATATATATATATATATATATATATATATATATATATATATATATATATAATATATATATATACATATATATATATATATATATATATATTATATATATATATATATATATATATCTTAGAGGAGACTTTCAAAACAATAAAAATAACAATAATCCTGCTACGTGAAAATCTACCACGTCGCTATTCTTAATACTAAGGGTATAGTCTAAACACAACTGATGAATGGGAAGAGCAGAGGAATCTCCGCGTCTTGGCAACGGTGGACACGTCGGAATAAACCTTCAGGAGGAGGGGAGGGGGGGGGGGGGGGGGGCTGCACCTGTACGCATCGTTACAAAGAAATGATCGGCCTCCTGTTCAGTTTTCCCCCGCGCCGCCCTTCCACTCGTCTCGCGCCTTACGGAGGCCCATTCACCGGCGCAGCCTCCGCCCCCCAGCCCGGTACTGATCGTTGGAATCAAATGAATCTTTCTGCTTCCGGTTCATTTGGCGGCAAAGAGGTGAGGCCGGGCGGGTGCTGGCCACGCTCGCCGCCCACGGAAATAGTTATGGGGAGAGGAATTATAATTCATAATGTGGCTTCTATGGGGGTCTGTTGAAGCTTCGCTGATATTGATTTTGTTCTAATCTCCATTGTCATCGTAAATGATCATGGAATAATATCATCGTTACCATCACCACCATCATCGTCATCGGCATCATCTCTTTATCATCATCATCATCATCATCATCCATCATCATCATCTCTTCATCATCATCATCATCATCACCACCATCGTCATCATTACCTCATTGTCAGCCTAATTACCATCCTTGGCATTATTCACATCTTAACCATCATCATTTCATTATCATTTTGCACATTGTTGTTATTTTTATCATCCTTGCTCTCGGCGCCTCACCGTAAACATCAAGCATAAACATTATTCGAATAAGTCACGAGCATCGCCACTGAGAGAGACAGGGGGGGGGGAGAAAGAAAGAGAGAGGAGGAGAAAGAGAGAGAGGAGAGGGAAATAAGAGAGGGGAGGTAAAATAGAGAGGGGAGAAAGAGAGAGGGGGGAGGGAGGGACGCAGAGAAAAAGAGAGGGGGTACACAGACAGACAGAGGGAGAGGAGAGACGAGGGAGTGAGGGAGGGACGCAAAGAAAAAGGGAGAGGGAGAAAGGGGTACACAGACAGACAGACAGAGGAGGAGGAGAGCCGAGGGAGAGAGAGAGTCGAATGTCCATAAGTATCACTTTACCTTCCCACTATAGAACTTAATCCCAAACAAAGTGCGCTCACAGGCGGCGGAAGCACAGAATCCGCCAGACTGGAACCCGCCGCAGTGCAAAGGGTCTGCCTGTGTGTCTTTAGTCAACAGGATGGGATGAGGTTGTCCTTCATCAGAGACAGCGCTCAGCCCCGCGAGGGACGCTACGGACGCCCTGGCGAGGACTTCGCTGGGAGGAGAACGTTCTTCGGTTCTGCTACTAATGCAACTGCCACTGCTCCTGCAGTTACTATCGCTATTTCTACGGTTCTACTACTACTACTTCTACTGGTACGGTACTACTACTCCTGCTACTGCGGTACTACTTCCATTATTACAATACTACTACTACTATTACTACTGCTACTAATACGGTACTACTACTATCACTTCTACTACTACTACGGTATTACGAAGAAATGGCTACTACTACTGCTAATATTATTACTACATTTACTACTAGTAGTATTATTACTATTACTACTCACACGCACACACATACACAAACACTCAGACACACACACGCACAATTAAAATAGCTGACCGCCTCATTTGGCTTTTTTAAGCTTCATCAGTAAACAGAAAACACATGATCTCCCCGCTGATGTTTACCGTCCCCACGTCCAGTCATCCGTGTCATAGATTCGCCACGGAGTTATTCTCACTGGAAGCTTGTTTTGGTGTCGAAGTTCTGAAGTTTGCATCGCCCGGAAAGTTTCATATTCGTCCCTCCGCTGAACGTAACATTCTGGACAACGCTCCACAGTGGCAGGAATGTGAGAAACAACGCCATTCAACCACAGAAGGAAAAGTTAAGAACAAAATGCGTCCCGAGCAGTCGGCCGGAAGCGGAGGCTGTCGAAAATACGCCCGAGGCAAGGCGACTCGGAAACAGGCAAGGGAGGCGGGCGAGGCTCGGTGCGCGGCCGCGGATAGACAGGTAGATAGATGGCTGCAAGTGGATAGGTTGATAGGCAGGGAGACATGCAACAGATAGATAGGTAATATGTATATATATGCTTTTGACCGCGCGTGCGTGCGACTGCGCCCGTTTCTCTCCGCGCGCGTCTGTCGGCTGAATCATCCGAGTTCCGCCGTGCCTCCCGCGGGATCCCAAGCAGGGGCTCAGAGGCTTCAGGAGCGCGAACGGCTTTCAAGGCCGCCCTCCTTCGCGGCCGCCCACTCCGCCCGCCTTTGTGTCTCGCCTCGACCTCGCTGCGCGGGGGTTTTTGCCTCACTCTTTCTGCTCATTTCTCGGAGCGTCTGGAAAAAGCCCCGCGGCTCCACGCAGCCAAGGTGTCATTACAACTCGCTGCATATTTTTCCAGGAAACAGTAAAACCTCGCTTTGGCAGATTTTTGAAGGAAATTAAGAACGCATCTCATCGCGCACCTGATTTTAATTTACTCATTTTTCCCTCCACGCTCGCCCCCCCCCCCTCACCCCCCTCCCCGCCCGAGAGGAAGGAGACCATTGTGGCTCTTTAGGCGAAGTTCCGAGTTTATATTGGTTTCCTCTCGCCTCCGGCCGCCTCCCCGGCGCTCGCCTCTCGCTCTTCGCCCGCCCGCCTCTCTCTCTGCCTTTCTGTACATGCATGTATGTATGTGTATATATACATATATACAGATGCATACATACATGCATAAATACATATATAGATATATAGATAGACAGATGGATACATACATACATATATATACATACATACACACACACACACATATATGCATATATATATAATATATATATATATATATATATATATATATATATATATATATATATATATATATATATATATATATATGTACGTATGTATGTATGGATGGATGTGTGTGTGTGTGTGTGCTCCCTATGGAGAGTGCACATGTGCTTCTGGTCGGCGTCCACGCTGGTCGTGCCTCCGTTGGCAGAGAGACGCGCGGTCTCGTGAGCGCCTCCATGTTTATCAGCTGATCCTCATAATATGTTGGCTCGGCGTCATGGCGCTCTCGCATGCAGGTCGATTCCCTCCTCGCGGGCCCATTACTCTGCTCGGCGCGAGTGTAATCCGGCCAGGAATTTAGTGTAGAGGAGCGAATGTGCGGGATTTATGCGGCCTGCTGCCCCTGCTGGCCCTGCTGGCCCTGCTGGCTCTGCTGGCTCGGTCTCCGCTGCTCTCTTCTCTGCCGTCGATTCGGAGGCAGATGCGTTCACACGAACCGGGATTCAGGGACGGAGCCGCTACATATCTAGCAATGAATATCACACCGATGGAAAAGGATTCTCCGGGGGTTACTCCCGTCCAAGAAAAAGCTTGATGAGCGAACGCTGACATCAGAAGCGGATTGGCCAGCACGAGGCCTTTCCGGCCGCCGTGACAGGCAACGAGGTCAAGGGTCGCCCCCGCCGACCCCGCGGCCGAGAAGAGCGACGCAGCCCCTCACCCCCCTTGGCGCCGCCCTCGCGTGGCGCGGGAACGTTGTTGATTCAGCCCCAATTACTGCGCGTTATCCTCCGCTCTCGTGTGCCACTTAATTATCGAGGAAGCCCTCCACAGGCGGCCTGGGGGACGGCCTCGCCGACGCCGCTTTGAAGCCGGCGAGCGAAGTTAATGACGACCCATTCAGAACGGAAAAAGCGGAACAGAGCAAAGTTGCAGCCGAAGGTCCCGGAGGTGAGAGGCTCGAGGAGGGAGTTCGAGCGGATCTCGACCGACAAACTTGCCTTCGCGGGTCGCAAAAATGGGGGAAGTTAATTCAGCTGGAGAGAGATTATCCCGGAGCAAGATGGACGGGCAATATTGGTGATAAAGACATGTTAATCTGCAAGGGAAGAGAGGGCAAGGATATGGCAAGAATTCAGCCATCCATTGATACATAACTCTTGTTACGCATCAGCTCTGTAACAAGTGCAGAAGACAAAGCCATTCCGAGTAAGTGCAAGTTTCCAAAAGTTCTGGGAAGTTCTGGAAGCGCGGGGAAGCGACAGCAAAGTGTGGGACAAGTTAAACGACGACTGAGCGACGCAGTGACTAGATAGAACAAGTTAGTGAACACTGATATTGATGACTGCTTCTCGAGCTCCTACGGGCGCGCTTATCAAATTACTATGCGTGTCTGTGCCCTCATGTGCCATTATATAATCAGAAGAGTGTAAAGCCAAGTGTAAATAGGATCTACATTGCATAACAGTGCAAGACCACTCGATACTTGATTCCTTACCAGACAAAGACTCCGACGGTCGGAGAGCCACCGCTGCTGACCGCTGGCTTTCCTCTGCACTCGGACGTGGAGTCAGCAGCCGCCCCTTTGCTTCGACGCTGATGACATCTGCTGATCAGCCGCCCTGAACAGACGACGGCAGCGAGGCGAGAGCGCCACGCGAGCTGCACGCGGCGGCCTCGGCGACTCGCTCGGGGTCCTTTTAACTAGGTTACTCGGCCTTAACTTGTGGCCAAATGGCTCTGAAGAGACACCGAGGGAGGCCGAGGGGGGACTAGGGAAGCCTGAGGAGGAGTTTGTCCCGGTGCCTAATGATGCGACTCTCGGACAAGCTCGAAGCAGCGGGGCATCTGGGGGCATCTGCGAGCGGGTTCTGTGGAACAAGGCACAGCGATGGTAAGAGAAACAGAAGTAGTAACAATAATAAAACACGTATAGTAATAACAATAATAAGTAATGGTACTAATGGTTACGATGTTAGTGCTCATAATGATAAAACGAATAAGAAATGATAGCGGTAACGTTGAAATTAGATGAAATATGTATACCTCATTAAATGCTACCACACCTAAGCTTTGGAGGAATTCAGAATTCCTCATGAACGCATCGAGATGTGCCTGATTACATGCCTTTTAGTGCAAACCACCGTGAAATGGGCGCGCAGGGGCCGCCCGACGTCAGCTGAGGGACCGCGGCTGGGGAGAGAGGCGATTTTGAAGGAACGTTCCAGTTAACGTAAAACGCGCAGATCCCGCTTCAGATTCCATGCCATTAATGATTCTCAATGGGTCAGCAAATTTTCCGTTTGAAGTAGATGTCCTTATTCCCTTATGTTTTCTTTCTCTGTTTCTTTCTTTGTATTGCGAAATAAATGTTGCAAAGAATTTCAGAAAAAAAACTTCACACTTTCTTTCTAAGCAAACAAAGTGAAATAATATCATCCAGGGAATCAGTCTGTGTTACGACAATACTTTTTTTCGGGAATTCGCCGAGTGTTCGTTCGGCTAATTGAGAAACCCAAGCAGTCCGCGCAATTAAGTATATTGCCGAATTCTTTTCTATTTGTATCTGTCTATCAGCTTGTTAGACTCTCGTCTCTCTTTCTCTCTCTCTCCTTCTCTCTTCTCTCTCTCTCTCTCTCTCTCTCTCTCTCTCTCTCTCTCTCCTCTCTCTCTCTCTCTCTCTCTCTCTCTCTCTCTCTCTCTCTCTCTCTCTCTCTCTCTCTCTCTCTTTGTTGTTGTTCTTCTTGTCTCCCTCTTTCCATTTCCCATTATCTCACCCCCCCCCCCCACTCCGACATTATAATTCATGCGTTTCCTAATACATTATACAAACACATACTTCAGCATATTTTCCCAAACTCCAAAAGTTTTGCACCCAGAAATGAAAAACGGAAACCCAAAAAGAGAAAAGGAAGAATAGACAAAAAGAGCAGAAACCACAGGAGTTGGCGGCGCCCCCGTGCAGAGCGGTCGGCGTTCGGAGCAGGCGTTCCCAGGGCTTCGGCTACGAGGGCGCCAAAGATAACAAAACGTGTGGGCGTGGCTGGGAGTCGGCGGGGTCGGGGCTCCTCACAGGGTTGTTTCTCGCGGCCTTCGGTGGAGCTCTAAGGACTCCGGATAGATAGGGTAGATAGATAGAGAAGCGTTGCAGAGAGAGGAATGTGCATGGGTTGCTGGACTGATCAGTTTAGGGTTGATACTTACGGACAGACGTCGAAGACACATATGCAATTATTCCTTCCATTCCTTATTTGTTCGTTTATCCTTTTTCATAGCAGGGAAAAGGAAGATAAGCAAGCGACGCCCACATGGACAGCGAGAAAAGGCGCAAAGTATGCTCCAGAATCCAGCGGCCTCCTGGAGCAGCGGCCACCAAGACGGGCGCTCCTTGCTCGCCGTTTCCGACTGATTTCGTTTTTTCACGCGCTATTGTGTTTGCTGTATTTGTTAGTCGGGAACCTCACGCTTCTCTCTCCCTAGCACCTCTTCTTCCTTCCTTATTCTTCCACTTCTGTTTTCGTCTTTCGCTCACTTCCTCTCGCTGTGTATCTTTCTCTCTTCTCTCTCTCTCTCTCATCTCTCGTCTCTCTCTCTCTTCTCTCTCTCTCTCTCTCTCTCTCTCTCTCTCTCTCTCCTCTCTCTCTCTCCTCCCTCTCTCTCTCTCTCTCTCTCTCTTCGCCTCCCTCCTTTGTGCTAACCCGTTCGTTTCCAACATCTTTAAGGTAAAGATTTAAGGTTCTCTCCTCTCTCTCTCTCCTCCTCTCTCTCTCCTCTCTCTCTCTCTCTCTCTCTCTCTCTCTCTCTCTCTCTCTCTCTCTCTCTCTCTCTCTCTCTCTCTCCTCTTCTCTCGTCTCTCTCTCTCTTCCCCTCCTTCTCTCGGGATTTCCATTCCATTCTCACGCCTTCTATTCCGCTTCGCCTCCTCCTTCTCCTTCGCCGTCCCTTCCATTGCCTTCCCTCTTTTCGCTTCTTTCCTTTCGTCGATAAGTGATCGTTTCCCCTTCTCCCTCGCCGCCCCTTTCCATAATCTCCTGCGTTCTCTTGGGCCTTTTCTCGCCTCCTTCCTTCCCGTCCCTCTCTCTCTCTCTCTCTCTCTCTCTCTCTCTCTCTCTCTCTCTCTCTCTTCCTCTTCTCTCTCTCTCTCTCTCTCTCATCCTCTCTCTCTCTCTCTCTCTCTCTCTTTCTCGCTCGCTCGCTCTCTCACTATCTCTTTCTATCATGTGTAAATAATCTCAGTTTTCCCCTCTGCCTCTTCCTCTTTATCACGCACTGCGCACTTAGCATCGACCCCCCCTAACCATCCACCCCCCCCCCCCCCCCCCCCCCCGTAAAGCTTGATCAGATACCGCTGTAAATTGTCCATTCTGCAAAGGACGAGCCGCCGATGCAGCTCCTTTGGCGAACCCAGGCTGGAGAGAGGTAGCGGAGAGGCGCATGAAAAATATGATAATAATTTAAGAGTTCATTTCGTAAAGTAATAGTAGCGAGAATTACTTACTGCCGGGCGAGGGAAGGCAGGGCGGAGGGGCTGCAGGTGCGGCCGCGGGATAAGTGTGTGTGTGCAGGCAGAGGGAAGGAGGCGAGGAGAGGCGCGGGCGGTGGGCGTGAGAGGGGCCGGGGAGAGAGGAGCTCTGCGGGCGGAGCGAAAGGCAGCGCGAACAGAACAGGGAGAGGGAGAGTCAGATAGACAGTCAACCGAACAAACAGACAGGCTGACAGAATAACAGACAGGCAGACAGGGAGTGAATGGAGGAAGAAAAGGGGGAGTGAGAGAAGAGAGAAAACGTTTAGTACTTGGTCCTTTTATGATTCTACTGTTGTAGGTTTTGTGTAGCGCTCTCTGTATTCTCTGTCTGTATTTATAAGCCGTTTACACGCATGCAAATTTGCCCGTATCTTATTTGTACACTGCGTTGCACTTAAATAAAATCCCAACCTTGTCGAAAGAGTGGAGAGAAAGAGAGAGAAGAGAGGTAGAGAAAGAGAGAACCAGAGACAGAGACGGAGATAGAGAGAAACAGAGAGGAGGGAATCAAGTAAGAACGAGAGGATTTGATGTAATCCCTTGTTCACTATTGTGACAAATCCTATCGTCACACTAGTATTGTCAAAGGATGTTTGTTGAAGGTTCACGCCTAAGAAGGATGGAGCGAGTCGGTGGACGCCATGGTCACAGACCAGCTTCTTGATGCGTCGTCCGGGGCAAGAATGTGCTTCCCAACGCGAACAGATGTCTCAGGAACGACCGCTCTCCCCTTCGCCCTTATAGATGGCTCGCGGAAGAAACTGAAATCACTTCGAGGACAGTTGGGAATCAACGACGCGGTTACATATTGCAACACCAAGGGTCTCTTCCGATTTGCCCGATTCACCTAAGGATGAGGACGACGAGGAACCAGTTAGCTTCCCTGTTCCCGAAACTTATAAAAGAAACACCAGAAGGAGCTTCCCTCTGCAAAGTCCTGGCTGACTAATTTCAAAGGTATCATAGAAAGCCTGCCGGAAAAGCGGTCCTTTCTTGTAAACACCGACACCGTTGACTTTTTAAAAGCCACACGAGCCAGCACTGGAACACATCAGCGTCCACTTGCTTGCACTGCCCACTCTGAAAAATACGTCGACGGAGAGTGGGAGAAACGAATCGAGGAGAGAGATCAAATACATGTTAGGTGGGTGTCTGAACACAAAGGAAACGTAAAAGCATCCCAACAATGAACAGCAACACAGATCGGTCTGATCACGGCAGAACAACCCTGCCCCAGCAGTAAAATAGAGCTTAAAACCATGAGCTTCTTAGGTTGGCTACATGATAGTGCAGATGTAACAGGTTTTGCACTAACGGAGACAAGACCCAAATAGCTAAAGCAGACGCACAAGCGGCCCTTGTGTCACCATCCAAACTGCACACAGGATCCGTGTACACGACAACAAAGGCCGAAGCCACACACAACAACAATTCAGTATGAAAATTGCTAAACAGATATGGCAGGTGTTGACTCTGGTTGTGAAGCAAAGTAGCCAAGAGGCCCTATCAGTCCTGCGTAACTCCCACTGGATGCAGTCCACACCTATGCAGCAATGATTTAACCCACATCAGATGGACACAATCTCTGAGCCATTGTCGACCGGAGACCAACTGGGTTTACTACCTACATCTAAAAGATTATAGCAGCTAGTAATATTCAACCGTTTGTATGTTATATCTACTGATATTCATGGATTCCACACGAATGCATCTAAAGATTATAGCAGCTAGTAATATTTTGTAATGTTGTTGATGTGATATTCCACACGAACAACACTTTCCACACTTCTAAGCACCGAGGTTTTCAAGTGAATATAGGTTTCGGAAAACCTCTTGAAAACCTGCTCAGCAGCTGATCTACACGTTTTATTGACCTCTAAGTGGAGTGATGCTCTAGATAGAGGTCGACACACGTGTATATTGGCTCTAGTATTGAATGGGTCATTCGATCGAGATGTGGCGGTACTGCCTTGCTTCAGAAACTGCGCCACAGTAAATTGGACGGAGCTTTACTGGCTCTCTGCAAGGACTATCTCATGGATACCGTCTAAATGTAGTCTACATTGGGAAATGGTCCGCAATTCGAGAGATAGGTGCGGATGTGACACGAGGAAAAATCTCAGGCCCTCTCATTTTCTTAAAACGATTTTTTCTACATGTGATTCAAGCCTGCAAGCAATTTGCAGACGATCCAGAGAGAAGACGGAGAGAAGCAACAGAACAGTGAGAGAGAGATAGAGATAGATAGACAGAGAGAGAGAGAGACATACAGACAGAGAGGGAGAAGCAGACAGACAGCGAGGAAAAAGAAGAGAGAGAGAGTTGACAAAGAGAAAGGGAGG